GTGATTAGGAGATGAATGCTTACTCGTTTTGTGCTAGAGTGTGATTTATCTACCTAAAGTTTAGCTAGCATGACAATAGCTTTCTTTGCCCTTGATTTGAAATTTAGATTTTTAAAAAAATCTAAATAGATAATGAATTTATAGTAGTAATTAGACTTTTATTTATTTATCTTTAAAGTTGTTACGATAGATGAGGGATGCGATTTTGTTGACTCGTGGAGATAGAATTTTGTAAGCTGGGTTATGAAATTTTCTTGAACTCGTCCATATTTATGCAATGAGTTTTTTGAGCTGGGTATATAGATATAAAATTGTAAAAAAAAAAAAAACTTTCATAAATTATTTGATTTGGTATTTTCGGAGAGTTTCATTAATTTAAAAGTGTATAATAAATAAATAAAAAAAGTACAACTGAAAAAGTATAACCAATTGTATGGAGAATTAAACTAAATCTAATTTTGTAGGATACATTAAACATTGATTAAATTTTATATGAATAATAAAATAAAAAATAACAGGAATAGTTTTACGTGTTGCAATATTTTTTTTAGGAACTACATGGATATTCCTAAATTAATATTGCATATCCAATATTTTAGGAACTAATTAAATACTAATTTGATTTTCATACCCAAAATATTAGATGCATTAATTAAATACTTGATAAAATTAGAAATTCATTAATTAAGTTTGACTTTTCTAACTACAATATTTAATAAATAGGATCCCCTTTAATATGAGTATTGATTTTATACTTAAAGTTAATTGTTTTAACATACCGAATAAATTATCTATTTTTTTTCTAACATATCGGATAAGGAATGTCTCTCTGAGATAGATTGCCTACTAGGTTCTCTTATAATTAAAGAGCTTTCTTTAATTTGCATAGGATTTTTATTTCCTATTAAAACTTTCCCTTTAGCTATGTCAATAGCTTATAGTGTTCTAGAATTCACACAAGTTTTTTTATTCTAATAAACCTATGTCTGCAAATATATCTTCTAGTTCAATATAAGATTTTTCCTATAATCTATCATATGATGACTATTAGAAAAGGCATAACTTATAACATATTAATGTTAAAGACTTTATCCCTAGGGTTCCTTAAGTTTTCTCTTTTGAAATGATGTATGAAACTAATGTTTTATCTAAATTAGCAATTTAAATAGACAAACTAAATTTAGGATAAACTGTAAAGATATACTTTTCACATCCAAGATTTCCTCCCGTTGCACCTAATGCAATCTTTTGTGTCATTAATTCTATCACCGATTAA